AAACACACAAACCCTAAACAACCCTAAACCCTAAACCCTAAACCCCTAAACCCAAAGCCCTAAACCCTAAACCCTAAACCCTAAACCCTAAACCCTAAACCCCTAAACCCTAAACCCTAAACCCACAGCCTCGGGAGGTCGGCAAAGCGGCGAGCTGGTTCTGTCCGATGTGCCACTTCCCAACCATGTGGGTCTCATACCTGGGCTTCGGGTGTAGAGTTCTATGGGTTTTAGGGTTTAGGGTTTAGAAACGTGTTGACCGAAAGTTTTTTTTTTGCGAATAAAGAGCTAGTGGAAAAACTGTAGGTCAGACTAAGGATAATAAGAAAGACAGGCAGCATTGGCATAACAAACAACGCCCAGTCCAATCAACTGGCTTCTGTCTCGTGTGTGTTCAGGTTTAGGGTTTAGGGTTTAGGGCTTAGGGTTCACGATTTAGGCTTCGGGCATTTTAGGGCTAGGGGCTGGGTTTATCGGACAAGCTGCCCAAGCTCCCCCAAGAACTTGGGGAGTGTGGAGTACGAGAGATTCAGGTGGAGGCTTCCCCTGATAATCGGCAGGTAGATGCCTCCAAGCCAGGACGCCTACACCCTCAGCCTTAAACCCTAAACGCTGAGCCACGACCATAAAGCCACAAAACCATCAACCCTAACAAGCACTCAAAGGCCCCACGGCCCTAAATCCTAAAGACCCTGAACTAAACTGCACACTCTTTTGACCCGAAGCCCCAAGCACGCCCAGACCTAATGCTGATTTGGGGGGGTGGCACTAATCAAACGATTACTTCTACAGTCGGTGATTGGGATCAAAGTAGCTTACTAAACCCTAAGCCCTAAACCCTAAACCCTGAACCCTAAACTCTGAACCCTAAACCCTAAACCCTAAACCCTATAAACCCTAAACCCTAAACCCTAAACCCTGAACAGGTTAAGGATTGAGGGTCTTTGGCGGATTGAGGGTCCGGACTAGGTGTTTAGAGTTTCGGGCGCAAGGGAAAAGGTCGGTTTGTGGTTTTCAGGGCTTAGGGCTTATAGGGTTTAGGGGTTTAGGGGCTATAGGGTTCAGGGTTTAGGGCTTGAAGGATTTAGAGGTTTAGGGGTTATAGGGTTCAGGGTTTAGGGCTTGAAGGGCTTAGGGGTTTAGGGGTTGTAGGGTTCAGGGTTTAGGGCTTGGAGGGCTTAGGGGTTTAGGGGTTATAGGGTTTCGGGTTTAGGGCATTGAGGGTTGAGGGGTTTGGGGTTAGGTCTCCCCGACCCGCGACGCGCCTGTGTGCGACACATGCCGGCCGCTGAGTATGCTGGCTCTCGTTGGGCTGCAAACCGGCTGCACATGGTAGTTGTTCCTCTGCTCACCCTAAACCCTAAACCCCTAAACCCCTAAACCCTAAACCCCTAAACCCTAAACCCCTAAACCCTAAACCCTCGGCTTGATGTTCAGGGTTTTCGTGTCTCCCTCTCGGAGATGGCTGGGTTCCGCCGTTTGTTAGCGAACGGGCCCAAGTGCCAGAAGATAGGGAGAGGTGAGGGAGGGCGTTTCTTGATGGCATCTCCATCATAAAGCTTGTTCACTCGGAGCCCTATATGCACTCAAGCAGATCTTCAATAGAAGCCCTACTTGGGATGCTGTTTCTCACAGTCTTCGTTTGCTGCTGGGTTTTAATGCTGTTTGGGGCTGGGGCCGACAAGAGGCTTGAAAGAGAAATAGCTTTGGGCTTATTCACTACATGACTGAGGGCTTATGAAGTATGGCTTTAGGGTTTAGAGGTTTAGGGTTTAGAGGTTTAGGGTTAAGGGGTCGTGGGTTTAGGGGATTCGGTTCAGTGCTTTGTGAAGGCTTGTAGGGTTTTGAGTTGAGGGACTCTGCGTTCGCGATGTGATTCCTGCTTTGAAATCTGAAACCCTACACCACCCTACACCCCTACCAGCCCGATTCATACACCCTTATCAAAACTAAACCGGCCATAAACCCTTATAAGCCCTATACCCCAAACCCTTGTAAACCCAAAACCTACTCTGAACTGCCGAAACACTTTTTGAAAGTGTCCCCAGAAATTTCTATAGTCGGGCTTAGAATAAGAATCTACCAACAAAAGTAGGCTATGGTAGTGCAAGGTAAGAAATCCCTAAACCCTAAACCCTTATAAACCCTAAACCCTAAACCCCTAAACCCTAAAACTCTGAGCCACTGACTAAAGTCTCGCACCCCAAAGCCGCAGCCCCAAGCCCGAGCCCTGGATTAACTAACCAGGGCTACGGGTTTAGGGGTTTAGGGGTGTAGGGGTTTAGGGGTTTAGGGGTTTAGGGGTTTAGGGGTTTAGGGGTTCAGGGGTTTATGGGTTTAGGGGTTTAGGGGTTTAGGG